TCAATCCCCAGCACCACATAAAAATAAAATAAAGATATTGTGTCCACCTATAACTAAAAATTAAATATTAACAGAACAAAACAAAAAACTTTCCTGATCCCAAGAGTTAGTTAATTGCTCCCAACCTTTACCACAATTGGTATACTTATACTTTATTAGTACCCTTAACATACAATTACAGCCATGCATAGCTTAATGGGATACATTCCAGAAAAATGTATTATTAGGCAATTTCATTGTGTAAACATCATAAAGTATACTTTTACAATCATAGATAGTTTGACCTGCTACACACTTAGGTATATGGCGTGTGCATGTATGGTACAGTCTATTATTCTTAGGGCCATGATGAACAGAACAACACAAGGTTAAATTAAGCACAAGAGAAAATGATGCAATCAGGAGGTGGGGTAAACACCACATTTATGAGGCCACCACAGATATAACATGGCATACAATTTTATATTAAACCTTTTCTTTTAAAGTAAATAGTACACTAAAAATGATGATATAACAAATTCATGAACCAGTAACATAATTCTTTATTACCATTATCAAATATTATGAACTTCACAGAATTGGATGTGTACACTTTCATACAATTGGTGATACAGTAGGTTTGTTTATATCTGCATCACCATAAACATGGGAACAATGCATTGTGCTGTGATATTATGATGACTACGACATTGCTAGGCAACAGGAATTTTTCACCTTCATTGTAATCTTGTGGGACCACTGTTATATATGCAGCCCATTGCTGACCCAAATGTTATGTGGCATATGACTAATTCACTCACCAGACCATGATCTACGTGCAGGCAGGAAACAATTTGTTTCCATATTTCCAATACTTAGCCTCAAGCATTTAGCCTGGCATATAGAAACTACTGAATGCACATCTATCGATTGAATGAATGAATTTACCGGCATTATCATTTACATATAATAGTTACAATAAGCACATTTAGTGAATTTAATTTAGCAAACAGTCCAAGTAAGGTAAGAGCATGCGGGGGTGGGGGGATATATACACACACACACACATATGTATATGTATATATGTATATATACACACGCACACACACATATATATATACTCTCTCAACAGTGGACAGGGATTGGAAAGTTACAGATTACAGATTACCCCCAAACTATAGCTAAAAATAAATTAGTCATATATTGCTGAGGGCCATTGCCAAGTAGGAATGACACATCGAAATTTCCTTGCCAGCGTACCCCATGTTAAATGGACTTGCCTTGGAATTTCGCTGTTGACATTGCATGTAAGGTAACCTTGCTCAAGGACCAGGGTAGATCCGGGTTTAGAGCTGATCAGGTTTGAGGAAGTATCCCGCTCCTTGAGTTTAAGGCGATCCCGGTTTAAGACAAGTTTAGGGCATTCCCGGTTTAAGACAATAGGGGTTTTAGGGAAGTTGGAGGTTGAAGATTATTGCTGCTGGGATTAGGGTGTTCCTGCTGCTGGTTCCCGTTGAGTTCTCGTGAGATTCAAATGGGATTTGGAAAAAAGCCTCATGGAGTAGGTGGATTGGGCGGGCAGATTTTGGATTTCCCCTGAACGTGTGTGGAGGCTGGTGTGAGTTTGGGAATAAAGAATTGCTGTTTGAATCTACAAAGCTGTGAGTGGCTCGTGATTCAGTGCCAAGCTGAGACATTGGCTATGTATATATATGAGAGAGAGAGAGAGAGAATATGAATATGAGGGTGAGATTAGAGTGGGAATAGATAGATGCACAAGTTCCACAAAGGTTCATTCCTGCCTTTGCCCTGGCTTCCTGCTCCTATCTCCATCTTGAGGTGTCTTGGGTTTTATCTAAAAATCTATGTTACAGTAGATGGGGTAGAGAGAGAAGA